ATTATTAACGGAAATCGTTTTCAGTGCCTCCCGATCTATTTTTGTTGGGCTGCATTTTCGTCGTCGTCGAAGTGGAGGATTACTTGGAGGAGAAGTTGCCGGGTTGGCAGCAGAAAATCGAGAAATACGGAGGTGAGTGCAGACACTAAAACTCACCCATCGGGGTCCTGATTTCTGAAGCTATTTCCAGGCGAAATAGAGAAACAGTATTGCAGCAAAGTGACGCATGTGTTATGTGAAACTCAGAAGCATGGCGTTGTCATGCAGGCCTTAAGAGACTTGAAGCGATGCGTTACGATCCGATGGCTGAACGATGTCATCAAGAGGAAACAGGTTGGTACCTTTCGACTATCGGGTGGGGGCATTTCTGAGAAGGCATTTTTAATTCTAGGTTGTGCCCCCGTGGACAGCGTTGCATTTGCCTCAAATATACCTGGATATTACTCCAGCCTCAAAGCACCTCATCTCGATCAGTGGCTTTGAGGGCAGCACCAGGCAAGTGGTGAAGCAAATGGTCATGTACATAGGAGCCAAGGTAGAGTTGCACTTTTTTCTAAGATTTTGATGGGAATTAGTTGAATTTTTCTGGTAGTGCACGAGCTACTTCTCCAAACACAACACCCTGCTGATATGTTCGAAAGCCGAGGGAAAGAAGTTTGAGCATGCGAAAAAATGGGGGACTCCAGTGGTGAATGTCCAATGGCTGACCGACATTCTGTTGGGCAATTTTACCGCTATGAACCAGATGGATAATCAGGCCTATCAGACCTACGCCAATCCGCCCAACTTGAGTTTCGATCCCAAGATAGTTCCTAATTTAATGCGTAAGTCTTTTTCCGAGGTTGTTTTGCAAGGAATTAATTAGTGGTGGGTGATTTTAGATGCATGGAAGGCCCCGATCAACATCTCGCAAGACTCGTACGAGCGCGTAAAGCGCTCGGCCTCGCCTGTAAGCCTCCCAAAGGCGAAGAGATTGAAAACGGAGCACACTGACGAAAACGAAAACATTACGGAGGAAGTGGTTCATTCGAGTTACCGAGTTTTGTTTTCGCAGTTCGCGCTCGAAGAGCAGAAGACGATGGAAAAGATGGTCCGGTGAGTTGGAGGAGGAGGATGAGACGTTTTCAAGTCTTTGCACGAATGATTCGATTTTTCGTTTGTTTGCAGGGAGTTGGGAGGAATCGTTGCAAAGGACCACACGAACTTCACACATCTGGTAATGGCCCAACTGACCAGAACGCCCAAGCTGCTGTTCGCCGCAGTGAAGTCGTGTCACATTTTGCCTTCCAAGTGGCTTGAGGAGTCGATGAGCGCCAAAAACTTCCTGCCGGAGCACCAGTTCTCCTTTTGCTTCGAGGAATTCAACCGGGACTTTGGCGCAAAATTGGACAAAGTGCTCCACATGGACACCAAGCACAAGCTGCTCGAGGGGAAAACGTTCTGGATCACGCCGGGCGTTTTCCCCAGCAAAAAAACCATATCGGAACTGATCGAGCTGTCGGGCGGCAGTCTGGAGCGCATTCGTCGAAGCCGCGCTCAGATCGAGGCCACCAGTCTCACCGCCCCGTTCAGCTACTTCATTCTCACGGCCCACAACGATCTGCATCTGGTGGCCGATTTGCTCAAGAGCAAAAAGGACAACAAGCAACGGGTGGTGTGCAATGTGGAACTGGTGCTGAGTGCGATCTTGAGCCAGGACTTTCTGATTGACAAATACGCGGTGAGTGTTGTATGATCTTTGAGGAATCGGAGATGAGAGCGACTGGAGCGGTTGCGCGAACTGTTTCTGGATGAGTTCACATCGGACAGCAGCGATTCCACCCTATCTGAATAGAAGGGTGGGCCGAGTGCAATATTTTGTGCTGGGGGAGGGCCTCATTGTGATTAGCATCGGGAGCCAGCAATTTGAACAAACTGACCAATAATCACACACACACACGATAAAAATCGCCACTTGCATACATTTCATCGAACGGAAATCACCCTGTATACACACAGGAGATTAATTAGTCTATTAATAGTCCCCTGACTATAGCAGGTGTTTCATACCGGGAAGCTTCACTATGAAACACCTCTTATTCATCCCCACCTTTTCAGGGTTTTAGTCATTAAGTGCGCTTGTAGATTTCAATGTTAACACTTTCATTCCTGAGGCATTTAGAGACTGAAACCCAGAACAAACATTAAACATTGCACATTAATCGTCCTCCAAGAGTGTATTTTTGCAGAATATATCAACAGTGGGAAGTTTTTTCCTGCATCGATAACTCCATAACTTTATTTTTTTTCGGATCATATTTTTCTACAGAATGTTGACCGGTACATCCCTTGCAACGGATTTTCCGGCAAAAACATGTGGAGTTTTGTATATACATATAGTATAGGCAAGTATTTTTAACTCTAACTAAATTTATAGAACCTGTTCTTCGAGGAAACCTGTATAAATGTAATAAATAATGTAAATATACTTCCATTTGAAATGCCATCGCTTAAAGAAAACATAATAGCTGAGATTAGAGATGTGATTGACGCCGGTGAGTTTTTTCCACAGCAACAGATTTCTGGGGGATTGTACTAATTGAACACTCAACCCTCGCATGTAAAATTACATATATTTCCAGCACACTATGTTTGGAATAGCACGTGAGTTATTTGCGGTTTACTTTAGTGTCGATTAACTGATTATGCTTAAAAAAGTATTTAGTGCGGGCGCCTCAAAATCTAAACGAGTGTTTGTAGACAATAAATGCATGCGCAAGAAAGCGCACATTCGATTGGGTGTCGAATGTGGGCTCCTCGAGGCAAATAGAAGCCATCACAAAACGCCACAAGTGTACTCTTCGGCGTCCAGTTCCAAAAAGCGAGACGCCCCGTGGTGAAGGTTTGTGGCGCGTCTTCGGTTGCCCCCTTCTGCAAACAGATCCACGCCTGGCTAGAAGCAACTGCCCTCGGGTGGCTGCGCCAGTCTCATGTTTTCCTTTTGAGTCATTAAACGACGGAGCTCTTGAAGCACACTCTTAATGGTCGACTCTCTGTGCCACTGCGCCAGCACTGGAATCTGTCTATGATCCACCTAAAACAAAGCCCCTGGCATTAAGGAGAATAGTGCCCAAAGGACGTTGTTTTACTACTCACCACTCCGGTACCATTATTAATACCATTCATGTTTATTCTAGAAATAAATTTAGCTACTGGTGCCTCATCTGGATACGACTGTCCACACTCAATCTTGACCGAGTACATTCGGTTTTCATAGGGGGTTCGTGGGGGTCCAATAATCATGCCCATCCAATGTGTGAGCGTCATGTCGTCGTCGTTTTCCAGTCCCCAGCTGATCGTGCCGTCAGAAACGCCCTTCTGACCAGCCTCCAGCTCCTCAAGCAGCCGGAAATTCCTTGGAACCACTACAAACAAACAGGCACAGACAAATTGGAATGTCTGGAACAGATGCCACTATGTACCTACCCACACCGCTTGAAGGGGTGGCCATGCTGACCTTTGCTTCCCTGCAACTGTCTCTACACTGTACAGGAAAAACCGATAAACGCACTCGGATATGTTTTCACTACAAACTAGCTATCAGAAAAATGTAGTTTTCCTGATAAAGAACCGCTGTCACCAATCCTATCAATAATGACAGCAAATGACTGTGATGACAACGACAACTGGCGTCTGAATATAAAAGAAGCGGCTAATTGTAGCCCCCTAGGAATGCAACGTTGCCAGTATCTAATGTTATGGCAGGTATCGTGTCTATGTCTATTTCCAATGTTGCAGTATTTGTCAAAAAAGCTTTTCAACACAGCGAAATCTCAATAAACATTATC